CTATTAGGATCTTTCCTTGTAGTAGTCCTTATCAAATCAACCATGTACTGGATCTCGGGCCAAGCAGGATTACATGTAAATGTAATGAAAAGATCTGGATATCCTGCCCATCTACAAATTGCCATAGCATCCTGGAAACTTTCATACTTATATCGAGGACTACCTGTATGTGATGAAGCCAAAATCACTTGTTTCCCACTCATACTGGTATCCGAATCACCTCTCAAGTAAGAATCCAAAAGACCTTGCTAGTAATGTTGTCGCAACTTTGTTTGGTTGTTTTTAATCCAATCCAAACGCTCAGCCTCAACCAATGCATATGCATTTACAACATACTGTTGGAACAACTTTCCACACAATAAAAATGCATTTGATTCTTCCAGCCTGGTTTGAAGTCTATAACTGTAAAAATCACATTGAGTCACATTCTTCTCATTGTATTCATCTGCATTATCATCCCCATACCCAAAGTATGAAATATTTGGGTGCCAACCATCCTCGCCATGTGGGAATAATATGGGATATTGCAAAGCCATTAAACTTGGATGATATATACTAATTTGTTCCAGTTCATTACTTTGATACTGGACAACAATATCAGGAGAAAATGTTTGCTCCCCTGTATCATCACAATTAAAGCAGAGACCTCATTTGCTGATGGCAAATCATATTCTCTACCATCCCTTTCTCTTTTCGCAAGCAACTTTATTTCAACTTGTCGAACAGTACTGTCATTCAATCTATCCCTTTGCATATCGAAATATCTTTACCAAGATATTACTTGAATCTAGCATCTCCTGTAATTGTTGGATAATTGAATCGCGCAAAGGATTTGAATCTGGATCAGTGGAGAAAAAGTCTAACCTGTTTTGGAGTTCATTGGCAGTATCATAGATCTAGAGTTGGCAAATTTGGGTCTATTCCTTTCTGTAGGTATCAGACTGGCGATTCGATGATATACTTGACCCCCAATCGAATAAACATATACTCCGCGTCCATTATTTATAGACCGATCCAATTTACCTCCAATAGAAGTAAATGCTAAGACTGCATTATATCCTCTGATATGTTCCAGAAAGTGACGTCCCATTGAAGTATTTGCTTGCAATAGCATATTCAAAACCTCTAGCGGTTGTCTTCGAGGAGGGAGTTTCACTTTACCCTGTCTGCAACACAACGAAAACTTTGGTTCATTGGAATTCCTCGTGGCTTTGGTGCTTTCGTCCTTCCACATTATCGCTCCACAATACACACATTTATATGATGGTTTTCCAATATCAAACACTTCAACAACTGCAATAAAATGAAAATTAAAATTTGAGAAATTAAAATAGCCATAAACTCTCATTACAATAAAGAAAGAGAAATGAAATAACAAATATATCAACAAACCTGGAAAGTCACCAGAATGCATCAATCGAAGATGATTATAACGATTTTAGACAAGTTTGATGGATCTCAATAATCTATTTCTCTTTGATTGTAACTTATCCATCTCATTTTGCAGTCCTGTATAGGAATTAGTAGAAAAAATAACCATTAACCGCTAACACATAAAATTGAAAAATGTAAATCGAAAACAAACATGGAACAAATGGATTACCAGTAGGAATGTTCACCATTCTTCCATATATACGCCTCTGCCTTATATAAATTGAACGTTTCCTTCTTGTTAATTTGGTCAACGGTTGATTAATTCTCCTCAACTCTGACTTATGTGCATGAATTTCTAAAATTTACATTGAAGAGTAATGATTTTGTAAGTTCAACCATAGTGAAATAGTTAAAGAGATTATATCAGTTCTTAATTCATTGATACTTCGTTATGGCAAAAAACATTTAATAGATAATCATACCATCGAAAATTTTATTTTGTGCTTCAGATAGAGACTGATTAGAATCCACTACACCTTCTGGTGGTAAAAAAAACAGCTCTCGTATACCCTGAAAAACACGTGAAATGAAACATATTAAATTGCAAATCTATATAATTATGCTAAGACCAATATTTGTACTTACATTCAATTTTTAATGGTCGAATTGACTCATTATTTGAGACTGTCGATGACTTCCCATGGGGAATACTTCTTCTTCGACGCATAGAACTTCAAAAAAAAACATGAAATTTGCCTTAATGCACAAATAATGAGCAAGACGAATGTTAAAGGAACACTTGACAACCACTTACAGAGAAGGGATAGTAATAATGTACAAATAATGAGATAGAGAGAGGCATGATTAAGAAAGAACATAAAAGAACATAAGATTGGCCTTCGACAGCCAATGCAAGCAAGTATATGTGTAATTTGAGCTATAGGAGTTCATAACTCACCAAAGAAAAAGGATTATAGTTGTGTACCTTACTGTCAATCACTTAATTGTATTCGAGTGGTGGAAGAAAGACTGGTGGACTGGTGGAGTAGTTGCGCTCGAGTGTTGCTGTTGTTGTTTTCAAGTGGTAGACTGGTGGTGTCTCTGATTAATCATACTACAATTGATTACAATTTGAAGCTAATAAAACACAGTGCATATATGACATACAATCCGACAAAAACATGAAACTGAGAACAAAATGAGTATCCATTCGTCCAGAAGCATCCAAAGATAGTCCATTCAGCAGCTGTTTGAATGCAGGAACAGGCACAAATGGATCCTTACAAATATCATAACTGATGAGTCTTTCAGCAAACGGGCATATATTTGACAAAATAATTGAATTCTTCCCACCAAGCTCGATAGATACAGGCTGTTCTATAGAGTTAATCGCTTTCTTTAATTTTCAAAACCTATACTTGCAAACATCATTATTACAACACCACCAGCTAGATAAACTAAGAAGATGTCACTGCCTTAGCAAAGGCGCCAACCATCAGAATCACTCATTGGCTAATGAGTACCTGCAATATAGATAGTCTAATTATTTGCGTGTTTCCCAGATTAAAGGCAACAACTCAATGCCGGTGTTTTCCAGATAGAGTTCTTGTAGAGATACTAAATTGTTGATGCTAGATTGGAGGCTTTTGAGACTTCCACACTCCTGTATCCAAAGACTGGATAAACCTTTCACAGGCTCTGAGATATCAGGAAGACTCTCAAGAAGTGGGTTGCCTCAAATATAGAGACCAGACGTGACCATGTCCCATAAATTATTTGGCAGCCAAATATAATCCCATACAATGCTGGATAGAATTGTTGATCCCACTTCTAAATGCGTAAACACATAGGAAGCAGATCGTGTGGTTGTTTCCACCAACGAAAGTAGTATAACAATTACAAATCCTCCAATTACCTGTCGTTAATAGCACAAAAGCACAATTAACTGCTTCTAGCGACATAAATCGAATCAAATAGTACTGAACCGGTTGTTTTTTCACATCGGATTACATATTCAAATGAATTAGTTATCACCCAATCTTAGCGAATCAAATTTTGGCAGTATCTCTGAAGAATTCATCTCTTTCATTGCAGTATCCGACAATTTAAACTCGCTCAAGCTAGTAGAAACAACTCACCGACGGACAAAGACGGTTAACGATTGTGGTTTCTTCAATCCTAGGGTGCCCTTTCCTTATCCTGCCCAGAATCTGTTCGACCATTTGCCCAGCTGAAAATGGTCCCCTTCAGCTGCTTAAAAATGACAACTAAGCTCCGCTCCAGCGGGCTAATAAGTACCTTCATTACAGATAACCCATGAGATCGAGTGTATATGCTTTGCTCTGCTAACTAATTGGCTACAAACCCAAACTCTAGACCAGGAAACTTGAGAGCCAATGCCTTCTGGTGGAAAGCAATAGGTAAGGACGTTACTGCAAAGTTAGACAATCACTTGAAAAGTCATCAATGTTTAAACTTTAAACATGAAATTGGGTTTAATGCATTCGACTACTATAATCAGCACAAAGGACTGAAGGAGTAATGCCTTCCAATTAGAATGGAACTTATTATTTTGAAAGATTGAAGGCAATACACCTTCTGGTGGTAAAAGTACAAAGGACTGAAGGAGTAATGCCTTCCAATTAGAATGGAACTTATTACTTTGAAAGATTGAAGGCAATACACCTTGCAATTAGGAGTAAGCTCTGTTTTACTTCTATCTTACTTGCAATTCGTTTTTGGCCAGATAGGTTCTTCCTCTTGAAATGCAGGTTGTGAGAAAATTGGTAAATATAGGGGAGACCTCCCCGAACAACACACCACACCACACGACTCAGACTTGTTAGGGAGTTCTAAAAACTACAAAAAATTGATTTCATGGTCAAGTTAAATGGTGATCTATGCTTGTTTAGGGGTTTCTGTCAATTTGAGAGCAGGTTGTGTTGATTTTGATTCTGAGTTTTATGCTTGGTCAGTAGGATGGTTGACTTGATAATTTGGATTTGTGGGATTGCTCTGTCGGCTTAGCAGTTTTCTTATTGTTCCAAAAGTTGGAAAGTTGTATGTTTATGGTTCAAATATGGAAATCAAGGTGTTTGTGGTTAATCTGGCTTATAAAGTACACCACACCACATGACTCAGACTTGTTAGGGAGTTCGAAAAACTACAAAAAATTGATTTCATGGTCAAGTTAAATGGTGATCTATGCTTGTTTAGGGGTTTTTGTCAATTTGAGAGCAGGTTGTGTTGATTTTGATTCTGAGTTTTATGCTTGGTCAGTATGATGGTTGACTTGATAATTTGGATTTGTGGGATTGCTCTGTCGGCTTAGAAGTTTTCTTATTGTTCCAAAAGTTGGAAAGCTGTATGTTTATGGTTCAAATCTAGAAATTAGGGTGTTTGTGGTTAATCTGGCATATAAAGTCGTTTGATATAGTTTGGTTTTGGTGGTCTTTGGGGGGATTTGGGATAGATTTATGATTTGTGGTTTGGAATCTGATGGCCCTTTATTGTTTTGTTGAAAGAAAAAAATCATTGTGTGTGTCTTATGATAATTTTGGGTTAGATAATGGTGGTCGGATGGTATGCTTATGGGTTGTGATGGTTAAGAATCTAGCAGGGGATGGAAATTCGCTACTCATTCATTCTAAAGTCTAGCCAAATAACACTCAAACAATCTGACTAATAAGGGTTGCAAACAGAAGAATCTTTGTTCTGAGGACACTATGAACTCTAATGTATACATACTGATTCATGAACTCTAATCTGACGAATATAGAAGGTATGGAAGTGGGAAGAGAGAGAGATACCTCGCCTGTAAACTCTAGGACCAGCACTGTGGTTAAATTCCAGTTCGACCGCCGGAAACCGCTCCTCTATGCTTTTTACTCGGAGCTAGGGCTGGTGCAATCGCCGTGAACGCGAGGACCCCTTTCCTCAGAATCGATTCCTATGCTCCTAACTTGACCGAACTTGAGCAGCCACCAACTAAATGACCAAGGGGCGAAGGAAGGGGAAACAAAATCTCCAAGCCCAATCTATTCTTTTTGAACACAACACGGGCTCCGAGTTTATGCTCGATTTCCCAGTTTGGATAAGTTGTTGTCCTTGAAGAATTCCCCTGACACCCTTGTCACTTGCGGATGCAGAGCCACATATAGCTGAGTTGCAGCTCCCTGTATTCAACCATCAAACATACACGGTTATGTTACATCTAAGGATTTAACCCTCCTCCAAGAAAGAAACTTCAGCTTCACAACCAATCATGTAAAGCAGAAAACAACTGTGTGTGTATTCTGTACAGTACCTGGCTTGAAGTTTTGAGGAGGTATGCTAAATTTCCGGTAGCTAAAGAGACTGGAGACGCGAGCTGAACTGGAGGCTGGAGGAGGCGATGGGCGCGGTGAGTTGGCCCGGCAGCGAGAGAGTTGGGGGATGGCTAGAGATGCTGGAGACAGGAGCGGTGAGCTGGGCGGTGAGGCGATGACGTCGCGGTGAGGTTGTTTGTGCAGGAGCAGATCGAGTTCGGCGGCGGCTGGCGAGCGGTGAGGTTCGATTTCAGTGAGGATCGATTTCCGGGTGGTACAGACTACAGAGGCGACTGGCGAGGCGATGACGTCGCGGTGAGGTTGTTTGGGCAGGAGCAGATCGAGTTCGGCGGCGGCTGGCGAGTTGTGGTTCGTTTGGGAGAGATGGCAAGAGAGAAGAGTATCGGTCTGTAATGGACTTCGAGTGACGGAGCTTTGCATTGGGCTTTGAGGGAGGGCCCAGACATTAGCCAACGGAGGCATTTTTTATACGCGGCCCATCACAATGGAACGGAGCCATTTTACCAAATTGGCCTCCCGTGAACTGCGCAGAGCGCAGGAAAACACAAATTAAAGGTGATGTTGGCTGGAATCTCTATAATGTAGTGTTAGGATACATGGGCATGTATAAGATCCAGCATTACCTTCACTCAACAATTCGGATTATTGGGATCAACTGATTCTTGACATGGTATTAGAGTCTTTTGTTACCGAGAGGTCTTGTATTCGAATCCTGATGACTCCATCTATTTTTATTTCTGTTAAACACAAGTCCAACATCTCGAGTTATTGTGATCAACTGGTTCTTGATAGTTAGGCCACCTGCTCGCAAAATATTTAAAATGGGAATGGCAGCAGGGTCATATATATATATATAGTGGTGTATTCGGTGCACCCACTTTTTTGGGTGCACTCAGTGCACCCGCCACATAATTGTCATTATGAGCATGCGATTCATGTCAAAACGGTATCAATTGTTGCTTATGATTTTATGAATCAGAAGCACATGAATTTGAAAGAAAAAAAAATCATTCAAAATTTACTTTAATTTGAAGGATTTGTAATTTGGGGATTTAGGGTTAGGGTTTAGGTTTACAATTTGGGATTTTGGGTTGTGATTCAAAATTGAAGGTTAAAAGATTAGGGTAATAGATTGATTTGTTATGATTCTATGTCATATCATCATATTAGATTGATAGTACTAATTAAAGTTCGAAATTTGATTTACTATGGACACTTTTAGAGTCGTGCACCCAAAAAAAGTGAGTGCGCCAAGGTTGTCAACCTGCGGGTCGACCCGCGAGTTGACCCACTTTGACCCTGACCAGGTGAGTAAAACGGGTCACACGCACCCGCCGGGTCGACCGCTATAAGGTACCAGGTTGGAGGTCAAATTGTGCCATTTTTTTCTTTGTTTTGCGAAATGCGCCTATTTTCCGATTTTTCTTTTCGTCTAACTCAATCTTTGGAATCCTAAGTTGAACATTTGAATATTAATGTTATATAAGTGTATGTGAATTTTCACTATATGTTGAATCTAAGTACGAAATGTTATTTTGGTGTAATATTATATGTTATAACTCATGTGTTAGATGAAATTTGATATAATTTATCAGGATAAGTACAATATAATGACGCTTTCCATATTTCCGGGCTAAACCGGGCTAAAACGGGTGACCCATTAACCCTTGACCCACTAGCTCAACCGGGTCCGGGTCAACCCGCTGGTTGACAACCTTGGAGTGCGCAGAAGTAGCCACCTATATATATATTTAAAATGGGAATGGCAGCAGGGTCAGGGTGGAAAAATCTCTAATCGGCTCCCTCAAGTTCGCCATAGATTTCTCTACGGTCATCAATTTTATTATTTTTGCCTTTAGGTGTTTTGAGTTAAGCTTCAAAATTTTAACGCCGGTGGAATTCCAATGAGTATTAGTTCTAATTGTTGTTAGGCAAACACAGTGATTTGGAGCTTTCACTGAATCTCAAGAACGGAAATGAGAAAAAAACAAGAAAAATAATTGAAGATAATGTTAACTTTGGCCGCCGTCGGTGTTTATCTCAATGCAGAAAATCAATTAAAGTTTAAAAACACACCGGGAGAACACTTGGCAAAATTCCAACCAACTCCTACCCAACCCGTTGGTTTCAAGTACGAGTAACGAGTCAAGTGATCCACCCTCTTCTTCCGCTTGGTAGCTGGAAAGATGAAGAGATCCAAGTGATCTCTATCTTTGCATCCTCCAATGTTCTGGCGAGCATTGCATCACTGAATTGTAGCAGAGGAGCCAGTAATCTCTGCTTGGCATGGACACCCACGGCAGAATTGATGGGAGTTTAGAGTCCAGTCTGGAGTGTGTCCTGGTTAACAGGGAAAAAGACAGATGATCACTGTGAACTTCATGGTTAAGTAAGATATATCTGACTGATTAAGCCGCATGATGAGGTTACTCACCTTTTACCAGTCAGAGCTCCATAGGACGATGCAGTGAGAAACCTAGAAACCCCAGAGAAAACTTCCCTGTAGTGAGGCAAGACCAAGTCTCCTACAGTGATAAGATCATAAGTTCGTCAAATAGGGTCAGGCTATCGTTTCATTCAGGACTGTAATTCAACTAGATAGCATATTGATGACTATGGTCCCGAATTCCAGGCGATCTTGAAAGGAAAACTTATTTGACCAACGCAAAGAGAGGTGAATACCTATGCTCAAATAGTTGCTGTGAAGAACCGAGACAATAAGACTTGACGTCCTCATATCTTCCCCCTGCTTGGACCGTGAATCGACTTCGTTTGGAGATGAAAATCCCTGTGAATCACTACTACAAGGTGTAATTTCAAACCAAACGCCACAAGGGAATCTTCCCCGTCTGGATAGCCAAAGGAAAATTTCAAGATAAGGTGTGCCATGGATCATCAAGATAGCCACATCAATCATCGTACAGATCGTGGTAATGCCCATCTTTAATATGGTGAAGAAAATATAGAAGACAGATGTAGTTGGTAGTAACAGAAGAAGTGGAGTGAACAGAAGGGATCCAACAACATGTTGCTTCACTGTGTAGTCATAACTATCTAACCTCTTGCGAAGTGGATTCTTTTTTCTACCCCTGTCAAAAGTTGAAAGGGATTCAGTGTTAAGGATGAAAGCAATATACAAATAAGGCTCCTTAACAACTAAAGTAATCTACTCCAGTCTGAGGTTTCCTCAGAGGGTGTCCATGCCAGAGTACCAGTCATGACATAATGAAGTTAAACTCAGTAACAGAAATCTCTAAACTCAACCTCAGGAGAGCCTTCACTCAGTTGCCATTTATAATTTAGGTAGAAATTTTTCACATAGATGACATGATCGAGAATATCCAAATTCTTTTGGAACACATGACAATACGTATGGTGGCAATACAAAATAAGATTGCATCTATCTCACTGCTCAAGACTTCGGTTGACATGAACTTGTTTGCAAAGAAGGGGTATATAAGACATTGGCATAAAGCAAGAAGCTGACAAATCATTCCAAATCATCACGAAAGTGGCACCAACAGGATTGACCAAAAATACAGGTGCTAGTTATCAGAAAAAAGTTCTGACTAGTGACGTGTTCTCAGTGAAAGAAGGGGGGTTTACCTGAAGAGACGCCAGATTGCACCTAGTGCCTCTATCTGACTCGAGTATAAAATTGATACCCCACTGTGAAGGACGGAAACATGCGCAGTGGCCAACCCAACAATATCAATAGCCAACGCAGCAGGTATAGTTAGCCCAAAAAGAATTCCAAGCAGAGCAAGTCCTTTAATGAAATAAATTATGAGGAAACCGATGAAGACCCAGAGCGTAGACCATATTTGTATCGCATTTAAGGAAACCATGCCAAGAATTCCAGCTAGCTCCGTGTTCAACTTAAAGCCAGCTGGTACTCCCATCAACCACACACAACCAGATCGCAATATCTCATTTGTAGTGCCCTTGGCAAAGAGTGAAACCCACAAGCACACAGATTCTGCATGAGAGAAGAGCACTAAGCCAATCAAGTTTCCGAATAGAAGATCAACTAATAAACCAGTCCACATAGAATGCCTGTGCAGTGCAGCTTTTTCTGCGTACTCCACACATGCTCGTGACCTGAAAGATACCACCCAAAAAAGGAAAGTGAGGATAGAGAGGAAGAAAGAGCACCTAGGCAAACATCAGTAGCTAACAACCACCCAAAGAAAACTGTGAACAAAACCCTAGCACCAATAACAACTAAAGAATATTGCTTAGCTGTCGTATACTGCAAGCAGAAAGAGCAACAGTGAGGGCAGAATACGAGGATTATGTTTATATATTTTACAGATAAACAGCTAAAGAAGCAAAACTTGGACAATTTGCAAACTACATTGTTAATACAGCTCTTAGCATTGCTGCAAGACAAACACATAAAAGGAGATAACATATATAAGATCAATTCTCGCAAGAAAGTAAGACCTTATTCATGCATTCAAGACCTAAAATGTGAACACATCACCTTTTTGCTTTTATTTTATTTAGGAAAGGAGTTCATTTGTTACCTAATGCTATTATCTTCCAGAAAAATTGGCCAGTAAATCATCTGACTGCAACGAATGCGCACATTTTTTGACATAGTGGGAGCAAGCTTTGCAGATCTGGTGCAGATCCATCGTCCAAATCCAGACCAAGAGAGGTTACGGATCAACTGAAGAATGATATACATTATAGTGGAAAGCAATGCCAAGAATAAAGCCAGGGCTTGCCATACTAAACCAAGACACCTGAGATGTTAAAAAGAGAAACAAAGCTGTAAGATAAACTACCATGAAGCAAAGTAAGGTAAGAACACAGTAGCAAAGCACATACATGCTCATGATGTGATAGCTGGTGCAAGATCCGTTAGCCCCGATGTATCTCCCAAGAACCATTCCAGCGGCAGAAGTACTGTTCATCGCCAAAATGAGTGCATCCTAGTTGAAGAATTCAAAATTCAATGATAGCCAGCAACATAAGCACATGATGCAACTGCATAAAGTTGAACCAGGGAAACTATGTTACCATGTCCAACTCTGGCTGGAATGTTCGAAGCTCATCCAACCACTGAGGTTTCCTTAAAGGAGCCTCCACTTGTTTAAAGGATCTCCAGAAATTCATTGCAAGGTGTTGTTTGCCATATACTGGAATCTCATATAATATCACCTAAACAAAGCAGGAGAAGGGAGAAAAGAAGCTAAGAAGAGGCAAGGAAGCTTGCCAAGATATGTACTGGAAGATAATGGCACAAATAGCTGACTTACATACGTGAACATCACATTGAACTACTACTTGTCCATTCCAATGAACATGATGCAACTGAGGAACCCAGTTGACATCTCTACCGAATTGTTCATGGGGCTTGTGCATCAAATGGATCCAATGGCCTCCTTCCACACCATTCTTCCAATGTTGTTGAATAAATCCATCAAGTTGATTGCACTCACAAACACTCTCTTTGGCGGGATGGCTAACTGTAAGTCGTCTTTTTCCTGCCACAGGAATGTCAGAAGAGGACCCTATCTCACCATCAACTTTTGATCCAACTTTAAGACCTTCACCATTAATATTCAGGGGCGTAGTGCAATGACCCAGCAGGCAGAAGCGTGATTTTTCCTGTAGCGACATAGGCATCCTCCCATTTGTATCGTCGATGATTCCCTGTTTGGAAAAATGCTCCACTGTTACATATAAAAGAATTGCCGGCCAGCTGGTGAACAAAGCTGACTACTGTGCTCGCTACTTTTCTATGAATTGGTCAGCTACTGAAGCATGCCAACTTACTCATGATGGGATAACCTTTTACTTCTGATAAAGACTTACAAAGTGAAACGCCGATTCACATTTTTTGAAATGCATATTGAAATGGGAACAATCTTAACAAGCAACAATAAGGAACCGAGGAGAGAATCAAGGAAATAAAATAGAGCTCGTACTTGAATACCAGATTGGCAATTGGACAGTGGTACTTTGCTGCACCCAAAAGCTACCACAACATCCACTGATACGGAAGAGCAAGAAACAACCCAACCAAACAAGAAGCAATTATTTGAGAATGGTTCATTTGAAAGCTGCTTTGGCCACCAAATCCTGCACTTTCTTCTCATCTTCACCAACTTCACCGGAAATTCCTAAGTTACAGAGAAAAATGATAACAATTCAATGTTGTTGCTTTGCAGTGTTACTTCAATAGTATTTTCCGGAAGCCAAAAGGGAAACAAATAATACAGAAATCTGAATTCGCCTTAGTACTCTGCGCTAAAATTGTTTTCCTATGGTTCAATCGAGTACTGCAACCAGTAAGATGAGTAACTATTTATACTAACTTAGTCACGCCGAGACCGTCAAACAGAATACAGTGCCAAACCCTTGCAGATTGACGAGGACGGAGAGCCAGAAAATTGAACGCGAAAGAAAAGAAACGAACCTTGTGGAATTCATGGCTGGAGCAATCACAGCTCCGACGCCACTCGCTCTCACCCTCCTCTCTCGCTCCATGGGAGTCCAGCTCTAGCTATCTCCCGCTCTTCAGGGAGGCGAGAAAGTGTCGCTTCTTAATGAGTAGGAATTGGGTCAGAGACGCCAAGAGACGGAGGAGATCAAACTTCGCGAGGAAAACAATGGAATTACACAAATGAGACTGATGGGTGCAGGGCGAGCGTGGATCCAAATCGTCAAGAGCTAGAAAGGAATCACCGCAAAAAAAGGTTGCGGGGTGTTTCTTTCTTCTTCTTTTTTCTTCAGCTGGCCAGGACAAGACGGCGGGGGACGAGAGTAAAGAATGATGGTCAGTTTATGGGCTTCTCCACCGCCGAACCATCTTCCCCGCCATCGAGCTCTGACCCAACATCTCCGCCAACTGGTCCTTCGTTCCGGCTAAGGAGGTGAATGGAGTTTGCTGGAATCAATTTCAGAGGGGCTGTGGGAATCAATAAGAAATGTTATGACTTATGAGAGGATCGTATTTGCGGTGATGATTGGGGGCGGCTTCGGTTTCACCGTCGATTGATAAGGGTTTGGTGATGTGGTGACTGATGAGGCCATGAGGGTGTTGTTTCAGGAATTTCGAGTTTGAAATGGACAAACGGTAGTTTGGACCAAGAAGGGTAGCTAAGTCATTTCCTTTCGGATAGAAACTGAGTTCACAGTTCACACAACTTATTACTTAGTACAAAGCGGTCAATAACATTTAATTTGAAACGTTTCGATAAATCAAGTTTGGACCGTTTTGTAACAAAATGGTTATTCTCTCTATCTACATCTAAAAACTTCGTTAATTCTGTCTAGTCATCAAGTCACGTCACAGAAAATTAATAAAAAATTTACTTAACCATACAATTCAAACCGGCTCAACCCACCCAAACTTTAATTTTATCTGGAATTCACTTGAAATTGCCTTTCATCGTTGTCTGCTCTCTCTCTCTCTCTCTCTCTCCTCTCTAAGCTACTCCGCCACACTCTTCCCTAACCCTGCAATTTTCACCGGGAAATCACTAACTTCCCTCATAATCTTATTCCTCCCCCTCTTACCCATTTGCCTCTTCGCTAGGGATGGCAACCAAACCTATGATCGCGGATATCCGACTATCCACGACCAAGTTAGTGTAGGGAGTCCCTGCATTGATTGGGTATGGGGCGGGTATGGTTAAAACCCGCAAAAAGTTTGATGGGTATGGGGCGAGTATGGTTTTAGCTTCCCCACCACATACTCATACACATACCCGCCCCACCACAAATATTTCTTCGCATATGAAACATAAATGGATCAAATTGAAACTTGTCAATGATAGTGAAGGTAACTTAAGACAATATAGTATAATTGCAATTAGTGGCCACCCAAATTCAAATCTAATTTCTTTATGTTAATCCTTGATGTGATCCTCCAGAGCGATCCAAAACTCCTCATTGGAGTCACCATAATTGGAGTCCAAGAAGAAGGGCCCAACTCAGCCGAAGGAAGAAAGGAATTACTTGAGGACTAAGTCATTGCCTTGGGCGGATTCTTGGAAGATCCTTGCTTCATTTCCTTTCCCTTTTAGGCGGATTCTTGCTTTATTTCCTTTCCCTTTTGGGTAGATTATTAATTTATTTTCTTTCCCTTTTGGTATTTGAATTCCTTAATTGATAGGCGAGGACTTTTAGCTTTAATTAAGGGTAGATACATTGTTTTATAACCTCTATAAATAGAGGAGGAATTGCCTATGAGTGGGGCAAACTTTGATGACTATTGATATTTCCTTGTTCTTTGAGCTTTAGGCTTGAGAATTTTCTGCTTTGTATCAATCAAGTTTTCCCCTTGATTGTGGTCAAGCTTCTACCCTATATTGATAGAGCATTCTCCCGATTTTGTGTTGAGATTGCACTTTCAATTCCATACTATCCCCAAACAAACAAAAACCCCTAAAAATCTCTTTTCCTGTTTGTTCTTGGAGCTGCGTTACTTTGATAACTACGGGTACCGGGTCCGTGCTCGTATCAAGTGGTATCAGAGCCCGGTTCAACGCAGTGGCAGGATCGAAAGCGAGAGGACCTGTTGCTTGTCGAACGAGGTCCAAATATCCGATTGCAGAACGCAGAGAAGAGGAAGGATCACTCTCTAAAAAAGAAACCCTAATAGAAGAACCAGTCATGGGAGATCAGAGTCAGAATCTTGCAGAAGCTATGAAGTTGCTTGCCGCGCAGATGGCACAGATGGGAGCCTTGCTTCAGGCCCAACAGGACGCTACCAAAGGTCGGCTGGTTGAGACGAATCAGCGGCTGGATACCCTAATCACTAGGTTGGAGATGCAACCGATGGGTAATCCACTACCACCAGAGAATCCAGCAGTTGTCGTAACTCAGACTGGAGCTTTGAACGGAGAGGGTCCAAGAGCAAATCAAGTGTATCAAGACTTTTCTGAGACCCCAGATTGGCAGGTGCAGAGGCGCCAATACACGGAGCAACATCGTCAGGTAATTCCGCATAATAGACCTCCATTTTATGGCTATGATAATGATGATTATGAGTATGGAAGAAGACCACCGGAAGCAGGAGGTTATGGCATTGAACCAATTCGAGGGATTAAGCTCTCAATCCCATCGTTTCAAGGCACTAATAATGCATCAGCTTACCTCGACTGGGAGAGGACGATGATTATGTTTTTCCAGCTGAGGTCCGAGAAGATCAACAACAATTGGCAATGAGTTGGGCCATGGAGAAAGGATGTGATCCTCCAGAGCGATCCAAAACTCCTCATTGGAGTCACCATAATTGGAGTCCAAGAAGAAGGGCCCAACTCAGCCGAAGGAAGAAAGGAATTACTTGAGAACTAAGTCATTGCCTTTGGGCGGATTCTTGGAAGATCCTTGCTTCATTTCCTTTCCCTTTTAGGCGGATTCTTGCTTTATTTCCTTTCCCTTTTGGGTAGATTATTAATTTATTTTCTTTCCCTTTTGGTATTTGAATTCCTTAATTGATAGGCGAGGACTTTTAGCTTTAATTAAGGGTAGATACATTATTTTGTAACCTCTATAAATAGAGGAGGAATTACCTATGAGTGGGGCAAACTTTGATGACTATTGATATTTCCTTGTTCTTTGAGCTTTAGGCTTGAGAATTTTCTGCTTTGTATCAATCAAGTTTTCCCCTTGATTGTGGTCAAGCTTCTACCCTATATTGATAGAGCCTTCTCCCGATTTTGTGTTGAGATTGCATTTTCAATTCCAAACTATCCCCAAACAAACAAAAACCCCTAAAAATCTATTTTCTTGTTTGTTCTTGGAGCTGCGTTACTTTGATAACTACGGGTACCGGGTCCGTGCTCGTATCAATCCTCCATTCATTCTTTCACTTTTCCCTCTTCTTAACAAGATAATTATGAAAATAGTATCCTCTATCTTATTGATTAATATATGTTTTAGGATCATACGATTTGAACCGTATTAAGAATAATTGTATCTTTGTTAACTTAATGATATAATATGTCTGTTTAGCGTTATAATTGAAAATTTACATGTAAAGTCTTAGGTATAATTATATTGGATGTACGGGCGGATATTACCCATGGGTAACAGAAACCCACGGGTATGGGGATGGGTTTGTAAAATCTTCCCTTGTATGGGTATGGGGCGAGTACTAGTTTAGATATTTGAAAGCGGGGATGAGGATGGTTTAGGCAAACCCGCCTCATTGTCATCCCTACTCTCTGCCACTGCCTCCACCGCGGTCTCCATCGTCTACCTCTACCCACCCCATATTCACTTACTCAAAACATATACATCAAAATACTAAAATAAAAACCACACATCAATTAAAATAATGAGTAGAAAATCTTCCTCTCCACCATATCGTTCAATCTTATCCTCACTCGTTGTGCTTTCTGGAAGCCGGTGAGGCTGGCCCAACTTAAATGGGATATGATAGCTTCTTTATGTTCTAACATTCTTGCCAATACATTATCCTCATTCTGCTCCGGATTGTAATCTCTAATAGAAAATATAGCTCCGTGAGCAAAAAGCTCTTGTCATGATGAATCCTGCGATATATTGGTGATGAGTATATAACGCAGCTTGAGTAGTAAAGTCTAAGTGCTACATGAAGAGCATAAGCCAGATGAAGGAACGAGAAGACCTAGGATGTACAAGAGCATAACATGATTGATTCGGCAAATTTTGATTCCTATATATCCACTCCTCTTCCTTCCATATTTTACCTTTATCACTTTTTCTGAAATTTTAACACTAATAAGGATAGGACCGTTAGAGAATTGGATGTACGATCGGCTAACTCATTTCGTCTTACCCGTCAAATCTGATAATTATTATATGCTCTTTGCCTTTTCCTTCCTCTGTATTTTACTTTTGAATGTGTCTGTCTCTTTGTCACTGAGAAATCAGGTCGAGTGGTTGATTAACAACTTATGGTGTAACCGTTATTAAGAGAATCTGACCACATCAGTGAGGTGCATTTCTCGTGAGGATAGTCTGGCTTACTCACATCAATCATACGCAATTAACTAAGCATGAGTCTCAAAAACAAATGGGGGAAGCTTTTAGCAAACCCGATTTTTACTTTAAGCACATCACTACCTTTCTAACAAGGAGAGGCTTTCTCTCTTTCTGATTTGCTTGCCGAGTGGTCGCATTTAGTACAAGTGGGATTTGTTTCTTACTACCGGTGACCGAGCAAGAGCAATTTTTGCTTCTTAGCACTCGCATAAGGGCTTCATTCAACTCCTTTTCCTCGGTCCGTGTGGATGGTCACTGCACATCCTCAACCGGCACTTCACTCAACGGGGTATCTTACTTGGTAAGCAACATCGTACGGTCGCGAACCGATGCTCAGTTGAACCTCTGCTAATCCCTCTGTGCAATGAGTGGTTGCCTCACACGATCTTGGCATTTTACCCACACTTTAGTTGTTATGGCAACTTTCTTATATTTTAATTGTTAGGTAGGATTTTTTCATTTATAAAATTACAGTTCACCCCATCTAAAACATTCAAAACAGAGAGACTCATTGCAAAATCAAAAGCTCACAACAGCTGCAAGTAAGCACGATATCCAAACATGTCGAATGAACAATGTTCTCCACCTAACTACTTCACCATAACTCATTACACTATCCTTCCAAAAGAGAGTGTTGCTAAAAGAGTTTGCTAATTCAAAGCATATCAAGTCAGTCAAAACATCAAGCTCATTGTGAAGACAATTCAACACTAGTGGGGTGATTTTTTACTGAATGGTTAAAGGTCGTCCTAAAAATTACTAACCATCGTCCTAACTTAATATGTAATTTACCGAATTGCCCATTTTGAATTTCAAAATCAAACACAAAACAAACAACCCCTCCCCTTCCATAAATCTAAAAAAATATAAACCAAAATCCAACAAATTATCTTATGGACCGAACCATAAATCGTAGTAAAAGAATAGAAAAGTATTGATATAAACCAAACAAATCCAAAAAAATTTTGAAACCCCTCAACGAAGCCAATTTTCGGTTGTACCATGGCTCAACCTAAGGCAATTTTCGTTTGTACCATGGACCAACCGAAAATCACCTTCGGTAGTAAATTTGTTATTTTTTAGGACGATCAATAGTAATTTTAAGGACGACGTTTATCAATTCCCATTTTTTATGATTTCATTCATGCACAAACTCATTTCACACGCATCACGATATTTACATCATGTTACCACAAGAGTACAATGTTTTGTTTTTAATTTTTTCTGATTTTTAGGGTTTTTTAGCCATTAAGTTAGCACAGGCAGACTACACCAACACAGGTAGACTGCATGTAGTTTGGCTGTGCACAGCCAAATGCCGTTTTTCTGGGGTTTTTTTTTCCAACCACATGCAAAAGAAACAAACAAACACTAAGACTCACCACCCCATACTCAGGATGGAACAATGTCCCTAATGTTCAACTCCTAATCTAAACATGCACGAGTTTGACACAACTAAAAAAAAAATAAAGAAAAGAAAACTCACCTTGGGTTGCCTCCCAAGAAGCGCTTATTTAACGTCCTTAGGTTGACGTTCATGGAGCTTTCAATCAATGGGCATGGAAAGGTATCCATAATACCCTACCGAGCAATGATATAACGCATAACCTCCATCTAACATATGAGTCACCTCAACAGGGCTAGGTGTGCGAAAATTCGGTATGACCTTCTTAGCTTGCATGTTGGACCCTTTAGTGAGGCGTAGGTAATATTGCAGTGCCTCAAGCAAGTACTCTTCCTGTTTCAATGTCAATGAACAAGGAATAATAACAGGAAGATTGAAATCATTACCCAAATATCTATACTTGAGGTGACCTGGCAAGGAATTCTGTCCTTGCTTTGATTTTAGAATATGAGCTTATAGGACATGTGATTGTTCTTCTAGTGGTACACTATCAGAGGAAGATGAAATTTTCCTTTCTCGAGCTCCACTTTCAAAGTCATCAAATGCATCGTGATTATGATCAACTTGAAAGACATTAAATATTTTCTCCTCCTTATCTACTCTGAATGTCAGTTTGCCTCTCCCAAAATCGATGAGTGCATTGCCAGTGGCTAGAAAAGGTCTACCAAGAATGAGAGGCACTCCCCAATCATTTTCCATCTCTAGAATTACAAAATCTGTGGAGAGAATAAACTTCCCTACCTTCACTAATACATTCTTCACCACTCCCTTCGAAATTTTCACTGATCGATTAGCCAATTGGAGAGTGATCTGAGTAGGCTTAAGAACATCTCCCAATCCCAATTTTTTGTAGACTAAGTATGGCATCAAATTAATTCCTACTCCAAGATCACAAAGTGATTTATTGAACTCTATACCTCCAATGACACATAGAATGGTGAAGCTGCCAGAATCATCCCTACTTTCTGGTAACTTATTCTGAATCATAGCACTACATTTTTGAAGACCCATTTTGGGTACTTCTGATTGTGTTTTATCTAGCAGGGTTAACAAGCTTTGAGGACAAAACTTTTCCAACTGGGAGAGACTTATGCAAGCACCATTAATGACTCATAACTATTTCCTTGGGTGCTTAAGGAAGATTACAACTCATGGGGAAAGGGGAGCTGAAAATTGCTAAGTCTGGAAACTGTTTCGAGGTACCATCTTTAGAGGCTTATTTGATTCATTTGAGAGACATTCGAGGGCAGATAAGAGTTGGAAGTGGAAGTCCATATCTTGCTAAAGAGTGTGGAAAAATTAGTTGAGGTCAATTAAGCTTGGAGGCCATCAAACGAGAAGCTTGAAATTAGTATGGAGACTGATTTGATTATGTGGAGGAAGCTACCTACTTAGGCAACAAGCAACCAAGTTAGATGTCTAGTTGGAGAAGGATTTTGAAGGCTTTTTGTGTTTGTTTTCCTTATTTGAGTTGTAGTTTAGTAGTCTTTCATTCTTAGCGTAGGTTTGTGGTTTCAAAGCCTATTAAAGGCTTTTTTTAGTCTTTATAATGGGGCGAACAATATCGAATTAGAAACCTTGTTCATTGAGTTTTGGATCGTGAAATTGGCTTTAGTAATTGGTGGATTTCATTTACTTGAGTTCTTATCTATATCAATCAAGCATTCATCTTGATTGTGGGCGAGATTCTATCATTATATTGATCGAGCCTCTTTCCCAAATTCGGTGTTGAAGTTGCATTTTCAATATCTTTTATCCCAAACTAAAAAACCCTAGTTTGTGTTCCAAATCCAATTAGTGTTTGATCAAGCATCCATTGAGTGAGGTTGAATGTGTGATTCTGATCATCAGACCTCAGGCTGGAGGTCATATAAGAATACATGAAGATCTAAATGTCATTTTTTTAATAGTCGAGGTGTTCTAGTGGAATTTGCCTTTTTTATCGGACCACTCTTTTTCATGTTTTGACAGTCTTTTATTGATTTTCACTACAACTTCTTATCTCTAGTCCTCCAATTGGTTTGTATTTGTTTGTGTCTAACTGAGTGTAGGAGTGAGATACGAGATTTATAGAGTGCGAGTGAAGTAGAAGATAAGCCGGCTTTATACTTAGCACTTTTACAAGTTACAAAGGAGGAGACAAGAAAGGGAGAGATAAATTCTAGAGAGGGAAGTTTCTTGTTTTCTAGAGAGAGAGAGAATCCAAAAACCAATCCCCCACCCACCGGGGTAAAATGCTCTATTTATAGGCTACATTCCGGTGGGTGGGTTTCCAATGCGACATGACATTTGGAATAAACATAACACTAGGGTATGAATATGATGAGGTCTATGAGTGAGGCGTGATAGTTTGTCAATTGAACGAGGTCGTCTTGAGCTCCTTACTCGCGGGCAGCGTTGTTGCGCGGACATCGCTTCTCCTGGTGACTAGTGCGACTCGCCATGTCGATCTACAAGCGGGTGGTGTTCTTCGCGCGAGGCCGTTCTTGGGGTGTGCCTTGTATGGGTACTCGCGATTGTTGTTCCGCGAGGATGAGGGTTTGGCCGTCCCTTGCCTTGTCTTTCTCAAGGTGATGAGTGTGTGATTGCTGGCGTAGTTGGACCCGAGCCATGCCCCCAACAGTATCCAACACTAGTTGAACCTAGATTGTACCTGCCACTGGTCAGCATCAGTGATGGGAGTGAATAGGGTGCTAACACCCTTAAATGTTAGCACTTAGCACCATACTAACACATTCATTAAGGGTATTATAGTATTTATGCCTTCTCCCTTCCCTTCTCCTTCCCTTCCAAGTTCCATCTAAGTAGATTTTCTAGGTTTCGTTTACTAATTACAGTTTTGATACCCGAACTTAATAGATATTAATATTTAGTACCTATTTTTTTTAGATTCAAGTACTAAAAAATATCTATGAAAAATTACACTTTAGTACCTGAAAATTTCCTCCTTACATTTTGGTACCTAATTTTTTTTTTCAAATTTACAAACAGGTCCACTACTTGTGGCATGCTTTGAGGTTGTGACATGCTTGAGGAAGTTGTGCCATGCTTTGAGGTTGTGACATGCTTGAGGAAGTTGTGCCATGCTTTGAAGAGGTTGTGGTCTGGTTCGTCGTCCCCCTCTCTTCCTTCTTTCCCTTCCCCAATTTTTCATAATATCAAGCTTGCCACTCCTTCTCCTTTCCATTCCACTCATTAATTGTAGTCAACTCATTTAAAAGAAAAAGTTATCAAAACGAAATGTTCTAAATGGTTGTGTTAGCACAATATTAACAAAAATAAGTATAAGCACCCTAACCCCCTCCCAATAGTGATTTACTATTTTTTAGTTAAAAAAAGAAAGAAAGTAAAAGACATGTTCAGAAAAAAAAGAAAAAAGTACAAATTACAAACAGCTAAACACTCGCCGTATTTCTTTGGTTAAATACACTTGTATATCCAAAACTTTCACGGTTGTGCCAATAATATCCAAATTTCCCGAAATACCACTTATATCCAATTCCTTAACATTCTTTAACGGTGTTTTTGGATATACAAGTGGATTTAACCAAAAATATATTGGGAAATGGATAGATTTGGCAAAGAACAACTTTAAAACATGGATATAAGTGGTATTTCGGAAAATTTGGATATTATTGGCACAACCGTGAAAGTTTTGGATATACAAATGTATTAAACCTATTTGTTTTGAACTGACGCACCCATCGGCCATCGCAAGTGAGGCTGGGGTAAAAAACTCGGGGTTAGAAACTGCAGCCAGAGATGGAAGCGCAGCTGAGCTGAGATTTTCCACGGTAGCACGAGTGGCTGACTGACCGTTCTTCTCTTCGTATCCACTCTCGCAATCACAACCTATATATACATATCTCGGTATCACTCTACAAAACCCACATAGCCAGCTGCGAAACTGTTATAGTTGAGACGAGCGGGGAAACAAGAAAGCCTAATGGCAGCACCCGCGCCTCCTAAGCCATGGAAGGCTGAGTACGCCAAGTCTGGCCGATCATCCTGCAAGACCTGCAAAGGGCCCATCGGCAAGGAGAATTTCCGACTTGGAAAAATGGTCCAGTCCTCCCAATTCGACGGTTTCATCCCTGTCTGTAACTAAACCACTCTCCTAACTTTCAATCTTCCCTCTTATTCCTTTTAAGAACAGTGCGACAAACAATCACAATGTAGTTCTCTGGAAAGTTTAATTCTTCCCCCTAAATCCTCTCTATTGTTCGACCAAGATTGTCTGACGTGTATTGTTTAGGGTTTTGCATGCAAGATTCTGTGAGCAGTTTGTTGAGTTAAGGGTGGTTTTAGTATAGTTTCCCCTTGCATTATGATGCTGGCTTGTAGTAGATTGTATCCATCTGCTGCATTCTATTAACTTTGAGAAGGGAAAGAGTGGAACCAAGTGGAGGAAGGCAAAGCTGACTTCTTTTTTTTTTGTTTTCTCTTGTTTTTGTTGCTGCTAACTAGATGTGGAACCATGCTAGTTGTATCCTCAAGAAGGCCAAGCAAATTAAGTCGTATGTCTTCTTTCTTTGCCAGTGTCGTATAGACTTGCCAATAGCTAACTCAGAGAAATGATGTTAACTTTCTGTGGTTTCATCCTGCATCTAGAGTTGATGATGTTGAAGGTCTAGAGTCGCTTCGCTGGGAAGATCAGCAGAAGATTAGAAAGTACGTCGAGGGTGGGGATCAGCCAAGTCAGGGTTCCTCAAGTAAGGAAAAAGCAGTTGCCGAAATAAAATGTCGAGTAGAAGTTTCGCCAACTTCTCGGGCCGTTTGCAAGAAATGCAGTGAAAAGATTATGAAAGACGAGGTGACCATCTGAGTTCCTCCATTCTATACTTCCCTTCTACCAATTTGATTGCCTCCCTGCAGTTAATTCCTCGAAGCATTTTCAAAGACCAACCTGTCGGAAATTGATTTTTAGAAACTGGTCGTCGAATATGGACTCCACAAAGTTTTCTTTTTTAACCAGGTCTTCACAATGCAACTCATTTGGAATTACAATCGATGTGTCAAAGTTGATTTTCTCCAATGCCAATGGATGGTTGGTTCTTCCATGTACTTGTCTTTGAACTGTTTTTCCCTTGCTGAACTGAAGGAGGTCCTTTGTATGCCAACTAATTGTAACTTGTTATATAACTCACCGATATTATCCATCCTATGGTATGTTGGGCTATTGGGAAAAGCTATTACCTGTGTGAACGAGTTAGCAAAGTGATTTGAGCAATTATATGATATTGTACATCTTTGACATGTAAACTTGCTGCCACTCTTCAGTAGTTATGGATCTTTGTTTCCTTCATTGAGCAAGTTTTCCGACATACCATGGAAGTTGTGCTCGTCATTCATATACCTATTTCATGACATTTGATGTTGCATATTCAATTCAGTTGCGCATTTCTTCCACATCTGCTGGGCAAGGAGCTAAAGGATTGGCATGGCACCATGGCCACTGTTTCATGACGCTGCATCCCTCTATTGAACTTGAAAAGTTGTCGGGTTTAGAAAATCTCTCGGTACCTGATCGAGAAGCAGTCCAGGCACTGGTCAAGGCTCCTTCAGCTGCAAAAAATGGTCTGACACTAAATCACAGGCTTTGTAAATCATATGATATACATCTATGTCTGTCTTTGAATGTGGTCATGTCATGGTTATTTATCTTGTCACTTTGCTTCCAGGATCTGAAAAAGATAAGGAAATGCAAAAATCAGCTTCCAGAAGTGGTATAAAACGTAAAAAAGATGCTGGCAATGAGCAGCCTTCAAAAGTCGGGAAGGTTGAAGGAGATATGTCAACTAGCAGAGCTGCAACTTCAAAAATTCCGAATGAGCTAGAAAGTAAGTTGGAGGCACAAACCAAAGATTTATGGGCATTGAAGGATGATCTTAAAAAGCACGTGTCAACGACAGAGCTGCGTAAGATGCTTGACGCCAATGGTCAAGATTCTACTGGATCAGAACTTGCTTTACGTGATAAATGGTATTCCATGTTGAATATAGAGTGCTTCTTATTATACTTTCATAGATTGATTAATACAATGAAAAGCACATCTTTCTTAAGTAGTTCTTTAGCTCTTATAAATCACATACAAGTTATAGGTTTTAGTAGATGCAAAAAACTTTTATTACTGGAATAACCAGCAAGAGGATTTTATTACACAGATTTGCTTCAGATCCAACTTTGATAGCTCTAATTAATTGGCAGTGCTGACGGGATGATGTTTGGAGCACTTGCTAGCTGTCCAGGTTGCTCTACTCCTCTTCATTATTCTTCTGGAAGCGTGTATCGGTGTTATGGTTACATCTCGGCGTGGAGTAAATGCTCATACTCCACCCCAGAGCCAGAGCGTGTTAAAGGAAAATGGGAAATTCCTGAAGATACAGAGAATACGTTTTTGAAGGAGGTATATCTCTTTGACCTGTGTGACCTTTTAAGCTGTGGATATTATGACTTAATCTACTGAATTTGTTCGCAGTGGTTCAAAGCACAAAGGAGTAGCAAACCTGTCAGGATACTACCTCCAACATCTGACAACCATTCGGGAGTTCAAGCTGCCAAAGGGCAGTTGCAGTCTTCAAAGAGTGAAAACTTGGGGGATCTGAAAGTTGCTATTGCGGGGTTAACTAAGGAATCTGTGGTATGTTGAGGCATCATATTTTTGGTTGGTAAAATTGTATTATCTTTTGTTTCTTGGTGAAGTTCGTGACTTTATCTGTTTGATTTCTGTAGCAAGAATGGAAAGCTAAGATTGAAGACATTGGTGGACAGGTTCACAACAAGATAAAGAAAGGTATTTGTTTTATATTCTTGATCTTTAGATTTAGAACCACTGCTTCATGTAGAAGCTCCGGTTCTTTTGAGTAGTGAAGTATGCCAATTTCGTTTTTATTGTAAACTCAGAAACCAATTGCTTAGTTGCAAAGGGAGTGCTGGATCCAGAGGATGCTGATATCAAGAAAGCTAGGTAAATTTGCTCCTCTTTATTTTGGTTTTGGTATTTAGACTGTCCTGATTGATCATTCTAATTTACATGTAAATTATTTGTCAACAGGAAGATGAGATTACCAATTGTTAGAGAAGATTACTTGGTAGACTGTTTTAAAAGACAGAAGAAGCTTCCATTTGATTTATACAAAGTTGAAGCCGTAGGCGAGGAATCTAGCTTGGTGACTGTTAAAGTAAAAGGCCGTAGTGCTGTGCATGAAGCTTCTGGATTGCAAGATACTGGTCACATTCTTGAGGACGGAGCAAGCATCTACAACACAACTTTGAACATGTCTGATTTGTCAACAGGTGTCAACAGGTGTGGTTGAATATCCTTTTTTGTGGTATTTTGACTATTTTCACTTAAATTTCAATGGATTTTTACATGTCGAACTTCACTTGTCTACTGTTATTGCGTTTTCCAGATTTATTGTGTTTCAATTCCTGCTTATACTTGGATATTTGAATTTTGATACTGTCTGTTTTTTTTTTTATAAGGGTGATATAGGTTTCTCTTTTGTGATTAAGGTACTACTTAAGGGATTCGAACCTGGGACTTCCAGGTTCTAGACTAGTGGTATTACCACTAGACCAAGCCCTTGTTCGTATACTGTCTATTTCCTTATGATGGCAAATTTATGTGGTTGCATATAAAGCATACAACATCTTGGGGATGCAGGTCCTGATACTGGTAGGAACTGGTTGGTCTGATCCCAATGGGTCAATACGTTAGAGAATGGCCCAAGATACTGATTGTCGAAAAAGAATCACACAAGAATGGATATTGGCAATACCACCTTTGTTGAGTTATTCTGGAATTGAGCTAATTCGAGCATGTTTATTCTGAATTCAGGATCCCACTTGAACTTTTATAACTATATATTTTGTTTTGGTTTTCAAACTATTGACTAACTTTCTTCTCTTCATGAAGCTACTATATCCTTCAGATAGTCCAAGATGACAAGGGATCTGGCTGTCATGTGTTCCGGAAATGGGGTCGAGTAGGAAATGAAAAAATTGGAGGAACAAAATTGCAAAAGATGTCTAAGTCGGATGCAATTGATGAATTTAAACGGCTTTTCCTTGAAAAGACTGGTAATACGTGGGAGACATGGGAGAGAAAGCAAGATTTTGAGAAAAAACCGGGGAGATTCTTCCCATTGGATATTGTATGTTATTTTTTCTTTGTCTTCATTTATAGTTGTGGACGGATGCTACATTATTTTGGCTGTGATGAATCTGATGATCTATTTTGTTTTTCCAAATTTTGGTTGTGATGAATCTGATGATCGATTTTGTTCTTCCAATTGTCTCTGCATTTTCAGGATTATGGAGTTAACAAGAATGTCCCGAAGAAAATCACGAGTAAGGCTGAAAGCCAGCTTACTCCTCCTGTGGTTGAATTGATGAAGATGCTCTTTAATATAGAGAATTATAGGTCTTCTCTCTGCACACCCTTCTCTCCTAGGCCATTTTCACTTCTGGCAGATGTCTGAATATTTTGGATTTCTGCAGAGCTGCAATGATGGAATTTGAGATCAATATGTCAGAAATGCCACTTGGAAAACTGAGTAAAAACAATATACATAAAGGTACTGTTGTTTTATTTTCCTTCAAAAGTAATATAAGTAACTATACCTGCTTAAATTTGGCTTATGTTCTGTTTTCTGTAGTTATTATATATACTACTAGTCGTTATTCGCTGAGGGATGATTGGTTCATTCAATCATGCATGATCATTGGAAGGTTTGGCTTTGATTGGTGCCCTGAGAAAGGTTTCTTCATGTATTCCAGGTTTTGAAGCTCTGACAGATATTCAAAGTTTACTATATAACAGTTCCCATGATCCATCTATGAGAGAAAGCTTGATGCTTGATGCAAGCAATAGATTTTTCACTATTATCCCATCCATTCATCCACGTGTTATAAGGGATGAAGATGACCTTAAGTCTAAGGTAGATGGCTGCCTCTCTTGATTATGGTCCACATTTCAGTTTATATATCTTTGTGCCTCACACTCTGCTATACATTTGTTTCACTAGTAAGCTCTTACTTCCACCTTTAATTTTAGCATTCTCAACCTTCATCTTAGATAATTTTGAGCTCATGCAATTCATCGATACAAATTCATGGAAAAATAGGATGTAACTTTTGCAAAATGCATGAAATGGAGCAAAACAAGCTTCTTGAATTGCTAGCATTTATAGTGACGACCTCATTGGTGTTTAAGGAACCGAACCATCCGGCAGTGTGAGGAACATCACTTTCCTGTTTTGGTCCAATTTTAGGTGAAAATGCTGGAAGCTCTTCAGGATATTGAGATTGCTTCTAGATTAGTAGGGTTTGGTGTTGATAATGATGAGTCCTTGGATGACAAGTATAAGAAGCTGCGGTGTGACATTGCATCAATTCCTCATGAGAGTGATGATTATCGACTGATTGATAAATATCTCCAGAATACTCATGCTCCCACGCATATGGTAGGTTGGCATTTTGATTCTTCTCAACAACCTTTTGGCTTTTACTTTTTATCTTCACTGCCAATACAGTCTGATTTTCTGCTTAACAATTATCTTTTGGCAATTGATAACAGGATTGGAGTCTGGAGCTGGAAGAAGTTTTTTTGCTAAACAGGGAAGGGGAAGTCGACAAGTATGCTCCCTATAGAGAAAAGCTTCAAAACAGAATGCTACTGTGGCATGGTGTGTTGCCATCTAAACTATTTGTAATTTACATATTTGTGTGTATGAGTAATGTCGCTGTTGACAACATGGGCCTTAAAGTTTGAGTTAGGATTTGATTCTGGAGGTTGACTCAAGTTTTATGGTTTTCCAGGTTCTCGATTGACAAATTTTGTAGGAATACTTAGCCAAGGTCTTAGAATAGCTCCTCCCGAAGCTCCGGCAACCGGATATATGGTTCTCTCTCTCTCTCTCTCTCTCTCTCTCTCACACACACACACACACACACACACACACACACACACACACACACACATGTGAGTTTGATGCGTTGCTTGCATGGTTGGTTACATGTAATCAACAGTGTTTATGGAGGTGGACTTGGAAGTTTTCTTTCTTATGAATCTGTTTCTATTTTTGTCTTCTCCCAAAAAACTACTGATTGGATACTTGTGTACTGCAGTTTGGGAAGGGTATTTACTTTGCTGACCTTGTCAGCAAGAGTGCTCAGTATTGTTTTACTGATAGGAAGAATCCCGTGGGACTAATGCTTCTCAGCGAAGTTGCATTGGGAGAAGTTTATGAGCTGAAGAAGTCCAAGGTGAGTTCATTGACTCAAGGGCTTCGTTTGATATTTTCCAATTGCTATATTCAATTTAAAAATATTATGATGTATAAAATGCTGTCTCTCTTTCACGCCTGTTATCTTCAGGCTTAATCCCATTCATGGTTGGTTCTAGAAACGTACTCTTGGAATGACTAAAATCTTTTCTAATTCATCCATACAGTTCTTTTGATAAGGGATAAGCTCTTTTAATCACCAATTAATCTACTTATCGTAAAAGTTAATGTCAACTTAACTCAGAATCAAGTTAAATCATATGATTGTGCATATAAAACCTTTATATTGTTATGGTATTTGGTGCAGTATATGGATAAACCTCCTGAAGGAAAGCACTCTACTAAAGGACTGGGCAAGAAAGTGCCCAAGGAATCAGAGTTTGCTAAGTGGAAGAATGATGTTACTGTTCCTTGTGGTAGACCAGTCGATTCGAATATCAAGGCCTCTGAGCTAATGTATAATGAGTACATTGTCTATAATACAGCTCAAGTAAGTTCAGTCGTAATATTTGTTTCAGACAGCTTCAATATAGCGCTTAACACTTGTGTTGCCAAAAGTTTGAAGTTTTTGGTTTTTGGTTTTCGCCCCTATTGGCCTCGACTACATAAGGCCTTCTTCCCCACCATTTGATAGTTGGTCCCCAAGAATTGGAAAATTGGTGGATTAGTGTCTGTTATTTGCTCTTATTGCTAAGCTAACCCTTTGAGGCTTCCTACCATGTCCCTTTTAGTACCAAATTAACAACACAACATTAAAGTTTTAAGAAAGTTGCATGTTCAGATATGTATGGTATCTGCGATATACGAAATTGTACATATTACCGAGACAATGACAAATCTGAAGTTTTTTCATAGTGACATTTCCCCAACATTGACGTCTGCAGTCAGTGATGTTAGTTTGTTTCTGTGAGCAGGTCAAAATGCAGTTCCTTTTGAAAGTGAGGTTTCATCACAAGAGGTGATTTGGGGCTGGAGAAGGAAGATTATCAACAATGTTCTTGTGGAGGTTTTTAGGGACAGTATCTCAGCGTAGGCAAAGATTTCCGTTGAAAAAGAAAAAACTATTGTGGCGGATATGTGTGGCATAAGTTGAAGGCAATGAGGGTGGATCTCATTTTGGGGTTTTGCTGGAGATCTTCAGCTCACAGGGGATTTTGTTTTTCAACATGTAAAATGGTGGCCTATGGATTCACGTTTGTAGATAACCTAACTCTTCTTGGACAAGGCAGTTTTACTTTTGTTCTCGAACAGTGACAGCTGACTAGTGCCAAAGCAAAGCGTCTCCACCTGGGCTCTACTCTATCTACATCCTCTTCAGACTTCAGTGAAAGAACGACAAAGGGATGATACCGTCGAGTAGTTTCCACTCCGAACAACCCAAAATGAGGTGAGTATTACCCTTCCCACACATTGGTGCTTTGGTTGAGGTCCCAAGCTGATGAATGTGATAGGGTAGCAGGAGGCACCATTTCTCCAATCTTGGGAACCACATACATGCATGGTGTTAGCTCCATACCATGAGTTAGTTTTGAACGTTTAGAGAGTGTTGTGCAGGGATGGGCAGGGGAGAATATGATTAGAATGGAACCCAGTTGAATGCAGGTGGTGGTGTTGCTGGGTTCATTGAAGTCAACATCACTTTATTTTTGTATAGGGAAATGGTGTTGGGCATGTGAATGAATGATGTCACAAGGACTTAGAAAGGGGCGTGGGTTGTTAACTTCGTATGATGGAGATGGAGATGGATACTAAGGGAAGGTTGGCAAGGGACCGAGAGGCTTCCCATGATAAACGTGAGATGCACAAGGACAGAGATGACTGAGTGAGGTAAGAACGAAAATTTGGGGTTGTTTGTTATAGAAACAGCCATAATCCTGTGTCAAGGATGACGACGACTCCACTCTGGTGGGGATGTAGTAAACCATTATTCCTTGCCTGCTGCCCTTTCACTTTCCACTTTCCAGGACCAGCTATAGAACAAGAACAACAGCACGAAGGTCACCAGCAGAACATTGCACGTTCCACACAGTTTGCTGAGGCTGGAAAGGGCTGTGTGGCGGCTCAGTTTTGGGTTTATAACTCAAATTTAACTTCAACTTCAAAATTGTTTTTACATAGAGAAATTGCATTAATGGTAAGCTGCTTAATTAATCGTGGCCAGCAACAGTCCTTTTCTAGTGTCGGGTAGCACTCGTGCGGGTGGCGGGGCATCTTCGTAATCTCTTTCCACTTTATGCCCAGAAAATATGCTTTTCTTTCTCCTACCTCGTCTTGCTGTCCCTTGCTGCAGCGAGATTATCAAAACAATTACACGTTTGCTTCATATCTGATTTCCATGGAGATTCACCCAACCGGCCAACCCCAACCCACCTTCAGGTTGTACCGTACGTGATCAAAATCTCACGGCCAAGTACGGGTTGCTGTCTGGAAAGTGTAGATCAACCCCTCTGTGAAACGGCCACGGTGTTAATAGCAAAGCCTAACGGCGTCCTTACTTTTTAAATTTATTTATACACTTTTGGGACATTATCAATTGTTTTTTTTATGGTAATATTATTGTGAACCAATCGTGAATATAATATTTTTCTCAATATAATAAGAATGAATATTGAATTTTTCCAATATTTTTTGAAGATAAAATCGATAATATTCTCGTAATGTAGTTGCAGTATTTGCATCACGTACTTCGAATATTCATTGAAGAAAATATGATATTTATATTTGGTAAATGTTCTATCCATATAATGTGACCCTCTCCCCAAACCTTTCCTTCACGGAAGGTTCACGTGAACTTGAAGGTGCTGATAGAGGATGACCTTGCGAAGATGGTTTTGGATGGGGATGATTCCAGTTCGGACATGGAGGAGGATGCCCATAACTTTGAGTTGAAGAGCCGTTCTATTCCAGATGAGAGACTTGAGCCTGCTATGCTTGGGAAGGGTCGTGTGCGACGTGCTGTTGAAGTTTTGGAGTATAAGGCGACGATGAAGCTCTTTAAAACCGATCGATGTGGGCTTGCGGGCATGGAGCACGCTCAGGATGGGGTGATGTCTGAGAACCTACATCTTAATGTGTATGGCTCTAATAATGGTCATCTGGTGGTGCGATCAAGAAAACGAGCGCTTCAGGAACCGGAGGATGATCTGGGGCAGGACCCACCTCCCAAAAGACAGTTTACTGAGGAGGCAGAGAAGACTGAAGAGGTGGAGGTAGCCAACCCTGAATGGCTCTAGACGGATAAATGAGGATGTTGGCCTGGAATGTGAGAGGGATTGGCCCAGCCCTCACATTCCGTACTGCTTTAGGTTTATTGCATCCTAATAAACTTGATATTGTTTTCCTGTAGGAAACAAGATCAAGTCATAGGGTTGTGTCTCGCAGGATGCGAGGTTTAGGTTTTGATTTAGCCAATTGTTTTTTTTTTGTTGACGCGGTTAATGCGTCTGGTGGTCTGGTTGTAGGTTGGTCCCCCGGAGTTGATGCTATGGTGTTGAGTCATTCTAGTTGTCATATTGTTGTCCAAATTAATGAGAATAATCGATCTTATGTGGTGGTGGGTGTGTATATCAGCTGCAATGTTGTTATTCGGGTGGCGCAATTGCATTATCTCCAGAATTTGTGGGTGGAAATCCAATTGCCCTATGTGGTGATAAGTGATTTCAACTCCATCTCGTTCGGAAATGAGAAAGATGGTGGGAATCCATGGAACCCAGACAGTTCCGCTGCGCTTAGGGACTTCGTGACTGACCTAAGACTACATGATGTGAGATTCCAGGGAGAACAGTTCACGTGGACCAATAAGCGGATCAGGCAGGCTTGTGTTCGGGAAAGACTAGATCGGGCATTATGTTCCCAGTCCTAGATAAAGCTTTTCCCAGATTCCTTGGTGAAACATCATACGGATCAGGACTCGGATCATAGAGCTCTTCTATTATCGGACAAGCCTTTCACGCGACAGAGCCGACCTCTATTCCGGTTCGATGCACGGTGGGCGGACAATCCAGAAGTCAGAGTAATGATTGTGTTTGTGTGTAATGAGGTTGTTCATGAATCCCCTTGTATAGATTATGGGCCTGTTTAAAACGTCTTCGTCATCTTTTGTATGATTGGAGTAGGGTTGGTACGACTAACTCCCTTCGAAACATCAAAACTCTCTAGACAGAGATTGAACAGATAAAGCAATCGGGTCCCATTGATTGGGATAAGGTTCGAGATCTTGAAACGGAGCTTAGTCGCCAGTGGGAGGCAGAAGAGATTTACTAGTAATAAAAATCGCGTGTTCGATGGCTGAAAAAAAGTGATAGCAATACCTCCTAGTTCCACACAGTCACAAGGACAAGGAGAAAAAGAAACTTTGTGGCGGGTTTGAGGACTGAGGATGGTGAATGGGTCACTGATGAGAAGGGAAAGGCAGATATTTCTGTTGATTTTTTCTAGCATCTCTTTACTTCCGAAAACCATGTTGAGAATATGATGCCCCGGGTGGCAGATCAGCCTATTGCTCAGTCAGTTACAGATGAAATGAATGCAGCCCTGACGGCTGAGGTGTTGGCTTCAGAGATCAGAAAAACGGTCTTCTCGATTGGGTCCACTCAGGCTCCGGGATCAGATGGGTTCACTGAGAAATTCTTCCGCGCTTTTTGGAATGTTGTTGGTGAGTCTGTGGTGGAAGTTGTCTGTTCCTTTTTTCATACAGGCCGGATGTTACGGAGCTTTAACCATACTTGGCTCACACTCATTCTGAAAGTTGATAACGTGGAAAATATGCGCCAGTTGAGGCCTATATGCCAATTCATGTACAAGATCATTACCAAAATTATGTCTCAGCGGCTGGCTCGGTTTCTTCATGCGATAATATCGCCAGGACAGAACGCGTTTATTTGTGAAAGACAGATAGTGGATAATGTGCTCATTGGTCACGAATTGATGCACTACCTCAAGATTAAGACTAAGGGTAGGAAAGGTTATATGGCTCTGAAGGTTGACATGGAAAAGACCTATGATAGAGTCGAATGACCCTTCTTATTTGTTGTTTTAGAAAAAAACGGGGTTTAATCCGACTTGGGTACAATGGATCGAAGAATGCTTGCGCTCCTCTTTTTTCGGTCCTAATGAATGGGACACCGGCTGGCTACTTTCGCTCGACTCGGGGACTTCGACAGGGAGATCCATTGTCTCCGCTTCTTTTTGTCATTTGTACCGAGGGCTTTGCATCACTCTTACGCAAGGCCATTGAAGAGAGGAAGTTAGCTGGAGTCCGGGTTAGTCCCAGAGCCCCGCGTGTTTCACATTTGTTCTTTGCTGATGATTCATATCTGTTTCTTAGAGGGTCGATGCAAGAATGTGAGAATCTGTTGGTGGTATTGAATGAATATGAGGAACTTAGTGGGCAGCGGGTGAACCTGGCTAAATCAGCGGTATGTTTTAGTAAGAATCCCTTGCTCTCCGACTAGGGGTAGGGGAGGTTGGTGTCCATGATAAATATTTGGGGTTACCCACCTTGATTGCTCAATCTAAGATGAATACTTTCCGATATTTGAAGGAGAAGCTATTAGAACGGTTACAGGGGTGGAAACAGAAGGTGCTCTCATGGGCGGCAAAGGAGACGTTGATTAAATCAATCGCGTTCTCATTGCCGTTACTTGTTATGTCCTGATTTAAACTCTCTCTCTCTCTCTCTCTCTCTCTCTCTCTCGTATTTTGGATAAGCATATTTCTAGATTTTGGTGGGGGGTTGAAGCGGGTCGCCCTCGAGTTAGATGGATTTCTTGGCGGAATCTATGTACTAGTAAACATGATGGGGGGAAGGGATTTCGGCGTTTTGAACATTTCAATCAAGCACTCTTGGCTAAGATTGGATGGAGTATTCTTAACGAGCCTAACTCTCTCCCAGCCCAGATCTATAAGGGGAAGTATTTCCCGACTAATACATTCCTAAAATCAACCGCTAGATCTCGTCCATCGTGGGGTTGGTAGAGTATTCTCCATGACCCAAAGGTTGTCGAGCTTACTGAACTTGTGTAAGGGGAGGATGGTATGGCCAATTACTTTAGCAGTTGTTTCCATCGGACGTGATCCGTGACATCTTGGCGATCCCCTTGCCTAATAGGGGTGCGGAGGATAGGTTGGTATGGCATGATACGAGTGATGGCGTGTTCACTGTCAAATCTGTTTATCACCTTGCAGTTTTGGTTGATAGGCAATGTGGGGAGTGGCGCCCCATGGTGCGCTGGATGAAAATGTGGGAGCTCAAAATCCCACCTAAGCTAAAGTTGTTCATCTGGCAAATCTTTCACCGTGTCTTGCCTACGACGGAGGCGTTAATTGAGAAACAAGTCCAGATTTTGCCTCGATATCCGGTGTGTTGGGCAGAGTCTGAAATGATGGAGCACCTTTTTTGGGAGTGTCCAGTCGCTGTAGCTCTCTGGACTCAGTCGGGATTGGAGAATCTAGGCCATGGTTTACCGAGACAGACTTTTCCTTTCTTCCTAAAAAAGTGCTTGCTTAGTATGACACAACCTAGTTATGGCTCTGGTGGCGCTTTTGTGGCGCATTTGGAAGTTAAGAAACTGGGCCGACTTTGAGAGAAAGATATCTTGATTCCTCAATTACTACGACAATATCACCAACAAGTTCATGAATGTGTGTCCTTACCAGAGGATAGACTGGGCTTGGATTGGGTACCTCGGTAGCAAAATATGGAGGAAGGGATTCACTTAGTGTCGCCTGTATGTGAGATGGTGTGGTAAGTGCGGGCGCACATTCAGCGGGAGGGCTGATCTTAAAGGACGATGGTGGAAATGTGCTATGGGCTACTGAAGTGTTTCTTCAAAACATTGTGGACCTTCTAGTGGTGGAGAAACTTGTTCTCCGCGAAGCTATTCAGTGGTGTCAGGCTCTTGGCATCCCTCAAGTTAGGTTTGAGGGTGATGCGAAGGTGCTTATTGATAAGGTTAATGCCAATGATGCGCGGGATGGTCGTGTCGGGGTTATTATTTCTGAGATTAGGTCTGCTGGATATGAATAGTGGTTTTCCGGTTCGATTGTAGGTCGGAATAGCAATAGGATAGCCCATTATGTGGCTAGGAAGGCCCTGTCTTTGTCTAAGGCTTCGTGTCAACTGTATGATTTTCGTGCCTGGGTTGGGTCCAGGATGTAACTTGTGATCTTTTATTAATAAATATGATTACCTTTTGTAAAGAAAAAAAATAATGGAACAACATTATGTGAGTAATTTTGAAAAACATATAAAAAATTATTAATTTCATCGTGTTATAAGGAAAGAAAAAGATCTGTTTTACAAAAATATTATGAAGGGGAGGGGATAAAGACCCAAGGATAGAAACTTTATTAGTACCTTAGCTAGATTACTTCGTCTGAAGCCGAGATTCTCTCTAGCATGTGATTTGAATTGTGTGATTCTTTCGCCTCTTAGAGTCGTTTGGATGAGATATTTGAATGACTATTTTGACACAATTTCGCATTTTGCAAAGATTTCGACACAATAATGTGCTAGACAAATGCTTCCATAAAGAGTGATTCTACCTATGTTGAATTTTGAAAATATACATGTACAAAATTTCAAAATAGCTGATCCCCACAATTGTTTAGAAAACCTACCGTATGAAGGATTTCAAAACAATATGTATAAAACATAAAATACATGTATTGTCAATTTGATTATGAATATATGATTCAATTGATAGGACTATGGGCATTTAAACTTTAGAGGTTATATCACGTACGCATATAGATGAGACTAGATAGATTGCTAACACTTTTTAATGTTAGCATTATGCTAACATAATTCATTAAGAATATTATGTAACTACCAACTCATAATAGCTCTCTTCCCCTCTATCTATGGATTTGAGTTTGATATGTAAATTAAAGCATGGTATCTCAACGTAATAGATTTTAAAATTTAGTACTTTTTTTTTGCATATAAGCCATAAAAATATTGATGAAACTTATGTTTTAGTACCTAAAAATTTATGTCTTACATTTTGATACCTAAAACTTGTAAAATTTATAAATGGTCCAAGTTTATGAGGTTTATGTTCTACTTTAAGAAACTTGTGGTCCACTTTTATGAGGTTTCTAATATGGTTTCAGAAACTCGTTGTAAGCTTTACGAGATTTACGGTATGCTTCATGAAACTTTTTTCTGTTTTATGAGGTTTCTAGTATGCTTTTAGAAATTTGTGGGTTGCTTTAAGAAACTTATGGTATGCGTTATGAGAGATATATGCTCACATTCTCAAAATCTTAAACATGTGAGATATACAATTTAATAAACCTACGAATTATCAACAAGCCAACTCATAAGATATAGATCGATTTTCTCATAAGCCGGTAGTTGAGTTGACTCTTTATTCACAATGTTGAGACATCTCATGAGCTAAAAAAAAAGAGAGTTCACAAGTTGAGCTCAACAAGCAACCTAGTCAACCTGGCTCACGAGCTGAACAAGGCTTAGCTCGACTCGCTAATAGATGAGTCGAGCTTTTGCATAATCGAACGAGCTTTTATCGAGTCGAACATCAAGTCGTTCATGAGCAGTTTGGTTCATTAACAACCCTAGATATGCTTTTAATAAACTTGTGGTCTTCTTTAAGAAACTTGTGGGATACTTTAGGGAACTTTTGGTCTTTTTTTGACAACGAACTTTTGGTCTACTTTGAATTTTTTGGTATGCTTTATGAATTTTATGGTGTGGTGAGGTTCTGGTATGCTATATAAGCTTTCTAATCTGCCTTATGGTATTTGTAGTGTGGTTTAATTTGTTGTGTTTCTTGTTTGTGTTTTGTGGTATGCTTCATGATACTTGTGGTGAAACACCGGATAGTCAATTAGTGCTTAAAGCCTATACCCCTCCTAATTTTTTAATAACGATAGTCGATAAGCATGTTCTTCTCTTACAAATCCAAATTATTTGTGATAACCCTGATAAATAAAATATCATCAAAACAAAATATTTTTATTGGTTGAAACTGTAATTAGTGTTAGCAATACGTTAACATATTAAGTACTAGCCCACTAAACTCTGCCCATATACTGATATACATGTATTTCTATTTTTTCTTCCCCTGAAAGAAGGGTTTCTGTCGCTTTTTAGTTACGGAAGAGGTCTAACTTGAGTTATATATGAAGGAAGCTCTAGTTTCTTTGTCCTTACTCTTTTAGAAGCCCAAGTTGGCCTGGCCGCACTCGCATTTATATGTGATATAAACATATTAGTTGGTCTCCATCATTATTTATATGTGATATTAACATATTTATATGCTATATAATTGGATGTAAGATATTAAACATGCTTTTTTTTTCATAGAATACAAAACCTTTAAAAGTGTTCTCAATTTCTAATCCGAAATTAATGAATCCAGGGGTTTAAATTTAGTTGAATCAAAATGTGTTAATAAGTAAGAAAATAACAAGGCGTATGAAATATATGCTCAACCAATTGTAAAATAAATGACCTTATGAAATGAAGTAGTAGGTAACGATACTGGTTGCTATATAGATGTGCTCTAGAATGATCTTGCACGAAAGTGCCATGAGGTGTCTATCATCAGGGGGGCATACATGGAGGGTCACATCATAAAATTTGAAAAACATTTATTCAACCTCCGATTGTAATTTTGTACAAATAAAAAAATATAATTGGTAATTCGGGACACCCCTTAATTTGAAAAATGATCATCCTATAATCGGATAGTTTGCATGACGTGAAAGAATCCAAGAAAAAGAAAAATGGTAATAGGTGGAAAATATTAATATAATTAAGTGAAAGTTGTTGATTTGTCATTGATGTTAACGGTCAAACATCGGGTTTGACCAATTTTGTTACTTTAATGTATAGTTTGGGCAAGGATGTTATAGATCGAAAAGATTGGTCAGGATGTTTACTATATGCAAAGTTCAGACCATACAAATATATTAACCCTAATTTGTACTAGTCTAATTTGTGAATTATTTAAATTCTTATTTTTAATTTTTGATGTAATTTACTTTTCTGGAAGAGGACACCCTATAAAAAATTCTTTATTATTTTCAAGTAAATTTGAATGTAAAAGTGTGACTATCTCAATTAGCATCAATTTGACTACGATAGAATCTGCCTAGCTTTACTAATTCCGAATTCCCAAGTGATGGAACCACAATTTAAAATGAGGTTCAACCCGTAATGATATATATATATGGAGTTTAGCTAGCAATGTAAGGCAATGGTGACAAAATTTGGAGCGGGGGAGTGGTAGTGATTGAGTGGAGGGTTATGGTTGTTGTCGGCGGCCATTTGACTAATTGCAACCTTCACCGGACGGACAGACAGACGGACGGACGGACGGGGGGCTGACGCTACCATTCCATTATTATTAACTTCGAGTCCACAAAGCGACACGCCACTGCAGCATTTCCCAGGTGCGGCGTTCGGCGCTAAATTGTTATCTTTTCCATTTTTATATACCACTTCACACGGCGACCCTCTCTCTCTCACTAACTTTTTTTTATATTATATTGAGCTTCTTAATTTACATTCATTCATGCATTATTATTCAAATCCATTCAATTCTTTCACTCCAAAAGCCCATTCATTATCCCCCACCTTCCCTATTCTTAAAGCCACACCCACCTCATCCACAAATCAATCTTTCCAACTCTAATAACCGAACTATTACCCAAACCCCATACTAAATAAATTATACAAACCAAATAATGAAATTGGTCATCATCAAATTAAAATAATTATAATAATAGGATTAAAACAACCGATTCAAATCAATCATATAGTAAGTAATGATTGATTGAGATCGATGAAATCAATGCAATTATGGTATACACAAATCATCTATGAAAACTTGCTCACAACGTTTCATGTTTGCCGGATCAGAGATGAATGCTCCTTAATTGCCGGACGAATGCGGTAATATATTTGTAAATAAAATTTCCATCACGTCCATCCGACGATTGCAGATCAGATTGTCCGAACTCGATTTGATGAATGCGAGATGTTTTCGCACCGAAGCCCTTTGCAATAGCAAATTTGAGATGAAATTATGTGAAAATCAATTTTATAGATTATCGGATGTCTCCGAATGGACATCGGTTTAAGAGATTATGTAAAAAATGAATATTAATATAAATTTGTTTAAATTGTTTTATAAATCAATAAACATCAAAGAAATTGTTGAAATTTGTAGGAATGGACACCAAAATTAAAAAAAAAAAAAAACCTTGCCCCAACATTTCACCTCTTTGAGATAAACTAAAGAAAACCCTTTATGACATGGTTTGGGTTGTCCTCATTACACCAATAAAGAACAAAAGAAGTCCCCCATTCCTTCCACCTTTGAGAAAGGCTTTCCTTTTCTTTAGAAGGGGGGGCTGAAAAAGAAATCAAACCCATGAATAGTTGTTCCTTTAGAACCCTACAAGAGTTAAGAACACCCCCAATGTCCCCTTCCACAAACTCCCCCCACACCCTTTTTAAGTAGTACACTTCCCTTCTCAAACCAGAAGCCCCCACCATTACCATCCTTTTCCCGGCATATCCCGCCCCTTCTTCTTCCATTTCTCCACCACCTCCTAGTTTGCCCGTGCGCCTAAACTAACAAATATTCTTTCTCTCTCTCTCTTCCGTGTCCCACATACATACACTTATACTTTCAGACTTCAGTTGTTAGGCATGGCGTCTTCAGGCAGTGGAACCACCACCACCACTAGTACGACCACCGGGGGCGCAGGATCGCCGTGCGGGGCGTGCAAGTTCCTCCGTCGGAAATGCGCGGCGGACTGCATCTTCGCCCCTTACTTCTGCTCCGAGCAGGGCCCGGCCCGCTTCGCCGCGATCCACAAGGTGTTCGGCGCCAGCAACGTGTCCAAGCTGTTGCTCCACGTCCCTCCCGCCGATCGCTGCGAGGCCGTCGTCACCATCGCCTACGAGGCCCAGGCCAGGCTCCGCGACCCTGTCTACGGCTGCGTCGCCCACATCTTCGCCCTCCAACACCAGGTACTTAGACTCACGCAGTTTTAAAAAACTCACGATTTTGCGAGTAGTATTATGCTAAACTTTTTTCAAAATTATATTTTTAATTAAAAATTTATAAATTAGGTTATTTTTGTAGGAGTGTCGAGGTTATTATAGGAGTCAGGTCTCTGTACTCTATATAAATCGTAGGACACAACCGTTTTCAGAATTCTGATTCATCAACATGGTGGTATTAGGGAAGATACGGTTATTCATCATAGAGTGTCTTTGATACATAATTGTAGAGGTTCTCTAAAGTACTGGTATTTTAGTTTTAGTTTTTATGGTACAGTTGTACCTCTAAACGTTATGATACATCTTTGGGTTGTACCTAAACTGTTTTGTAAAATTTCTTTATGATACAACTTCAAGAGTTGTACCATAAATAAAAGATCAAATTCTCTTATGGTAAGTAGAACTTCAATTTGTATTTTTAACTTTACGATATAAAGTCAAGTTGTACTTTAACGCATAGTAAAAGTGCTGATCTCTTAAAATACACGTATCTGTATCTTTGAGGTAAGAAGCAAGTATTCTGAACAAAAGCTTTGAAGTACTTCAGGTGGCCTACCTGCAAGCGCAGCTCATGCAAATGAAGGCTCAGCTGGCGGGAAACTGCTTCATGGATTCACCACCGCGTAATAATAACAATAACACAGAAACTAATCAGTATCACGGCAGCTGGCAGGAAAACAACGACACTTCTACTAATACTGCTACTGCTCCTGTGGCTGTAGAATGGGGATCCGCGGCACCATTCTCAGCAGCTGCGGCCGACTATCTCCACCGCAATTACGGTTTCAACCCTACTAGTAGTATTGTGTCGCCACAGAGCTCCCCTGACTCTGCCGATTATAGCCGTGGGGCGGATGATCTGCTGCAACATATGATGTTCCAGAGCTCGGCATATGCTAGTCATAATAACCCCAAGAAAAGACCTTACAACAACGAACTTGGTGATCTTCAGGCACTGGCTCTCAGGATGATGAGGAACTGATGATGACGCATGTTCATCAACGATATATCATCTTTTTTATTTTCTCTAATGCTTAAACCAAAAGCCTACCACGACGTAACTAATTAGAGCCAATCTTTTTTTATTTATATACATGACACTTTTTATTCCGCATTTGGTTACTATAGAGCTGATCAATTAAGCTCCACACACTTGACTAGTACTTGTTGGTTTGTACATATGCTGAGTGATTAAGGAACTCATTCGAAACTTTGGGTTGTATTAATGTGGGGAAATAGAAACAATTAGTATGGAGCAGAGTAGACTGCTTTCTTTTTGTTACTTAAACATCCGTTTGACAATCAAGTTGTTATAAACGCGCTGCTACGGATCGGGAAATCGCACGAATCGATAAAGCAAGAATACGAAAGCGAGAATCGAAAAACACAGACACACGATTTACGTGGTTCACTAACACGATGTGTGTTAGCTACGTCCACGGGCGAGAGAGAGCCAGTTTCACTATATCGAGGAGATTACATTACAGATTACAGAGGAGTATGAGAAGTATTTAAAGTACTTCTCCATGTGGGTCTAAACCTAATCCAATATGGCAAAGGAAACGGTTACAGACCAGGCCCAGAACCCGAACCCAAATAACATTGAGCCCATACACTGTGGGCCGGGGGCGTTGCCCCCGCACCCCCACCGGGGCGTTGCCCCTGGACCCCACTCGCTGACCGGGGTCGTAGCGGCTGATAGTCCGATTCAAGTCACATCAACAAATCTCCACCTTGACTTGAATCCTCTTCCTCTGAAATCTCTGATGTACTCTGCTCCTTCTCTCTCTCCCGCCATCAATGCCCCGCAGGGCGGAGTCACCCACTCAAGACATTCAGCAAGTCCAAGCAGTGTTGGAACTTGCCATGTGGAACTGGCTTCGTGAACATATCAGCAGGATTATCCGCAGTGCCAACCTTCTTCACCTTAATCCTCTTCTTTGTCCTCAAGAAATGATACCTCACATCGATGTGCTTAGTCCTCTCATGGTGGACTTGATCCTTGGCCAAGCATATTGCACTCAAACTGTCGCAATACACCACTGCCTGATCATGATGTAGACCAAGATTACCAACCAGTCCCTTCAACCATATTCCCTCCTTAGCAGCTTCTGTCAACGCCATATACTCTGCCTCAGTAGTAGACAATGTCACCGCCGACTGCAAAGTTGCCTTCCAGCTCACTACTGAACTCCCAAGAGTGAATACATAACCTGTCATCGATCTCCTCGTGTCAACATCTCCAGTATAGTCCGAGTCAGAATACCCAGACACCAAACACTCTGTATCACTTCCGAAGCTAATCCCCACTTCAGGTGTACCCTTAAGGTACCGGAAGATCCTCTTCACAGCCTGTCAATGCTCCTTCCCAGGTTGTATCATAAACCTGCTGACAACACTAACAACATGTGCAAGATCAGGTCTAGTGCATACCATAACGTACATCAAGCTACCTACTGCACTAGCATATGGGACTCTCGACATGTACTCCTTCTCAGCCTCTGACTGCGGTGCATAAGCTGAGGATAGATGAACGTTTGAAGCACTGTGAGTATTTAAGGGCTTTGCTGAAGACATGCCAAACCTCGACAGTATCTTCTGGATGTAGCTCTTGTGTAACAAGAAAAGCCTCTTCTTCGACCTATCCCTGTAAATCTCCATACCCAAGATCTTCTGAGCAGCTCCCAAATCCTTCATCTCAAACTCAACACTGAGAAGCCCTTTTAACTTCTGGATATCAGACTTCGACCTTGCAGCTATGAGCATATCATCCACATACAGAACAAGATAGATCATCGAACCATCCTCCACCTTGCTGTGATATACACAACAATCATATGGACTTCTGTTGTAGCCCCAGCTCAAGCATGTAACTGTCAAATCTCTTGTACCACTGCCTCGGAGATTGCTTAAGTCCATACAAGGACTTCTTCAGCTTACAAACATAGTCTTCTTTTCCCGGAATCTCGAATCCTTCTGGCTGAGTCATGTAAATTTCTTCCTCCAATTCTCCATGTAGGAAAGCTGTCTTCACGTCTAGCTGCTCGAGCTCCAAGTCATAATGTGCCACTATTGCTAGTAGCACTCTGATCGAAGTATGTCTGACCACTGGTGAGAAAATCTCATTGTAGTCAACTCCTTCCCTTTGCGAGAAGCCTCGTGCAACCACCAGAGCTTTAAATTTCATGCCCTCTTTAGAAGTGATTCCTTCCTTCTTCTTGTAGATCCACTTGTTTGTAACAATCTTCCTTCCCTGTGGTCGTTTGACTAGCTCCCAAGTCTGATTCCTGTCATGGGATTCCATCTCATCTCCCATTGCGGCAAGCCACTGATCAGCTTTGCCACCCGAAACGGCTTCTCTATAGGACTGTGGCTCTCCTACATCCACTTTTTCAGTAACCTGAAATGAATACGCCACCATGTCCTCGAAACCATACCTCTGTGGAGGTACTCCTGCAGTCGGTCTCTTCGGTCTACCGGAAGCAATAGACTGTTGAGCTCGTGCACTGGACTCTGAAGTTTCTGGCTATGCAGAGACATCCTCATCATGTTGATCTTCTCCACCTTGGTGCTCAAACTCACTCTCATTGAGAGTTTGCAGCTCCACCTGCTTATCAACATTCCTGCTACCTTCAATAACAGTAACCTTCAACATGGGGTTAAACATAGACTTCTCATCAAATATCACATTTCTACTGAGTATAACTCGATGCTCAGAAGGTGACCAGACTCGAAATCCCTTAACTCCATCTCCGTAACCCACAAATACACCCTTCTTTGCCCTTGGGTTCAGTTTACCCTCATCCACATGATAATAAACGGGACACCCAAAAACTTTCAGTGAGGAGTAATCAGCAGGCTTACCATACCACACCTCATAAGGAGTCTTCAACTCAATACCTGTGTGAGGTCCACGGTTGATCAGGAAGCACGCCATGTTCACTGCTTCTGCCCAGAATTTTCTCTCTAGTCCAGCATTAGAGAGCATGCACCGTGCTCTCTCCAACAATGTCTGGTTCATCCTTTCTGCAACGCCATTCTGCTGGGGTGTATCTCTCACAGTCCGATGACGGGCAATCCCTTCATCCTTGCAGAATTCGTTGAACTCAGAATTACAGAACTCCAGACCAATGTCCGTTAGCAGCTTCTTGATCTTCTTACCGGTCTGATTCTCCACCAATGTCTTCCACTGTTTGAACTTCTTGAAAGCCTCACTTTTCTGCTTCATCTTGAAAATCCAAGTAAATCTCGAATAATCATCAATAATAGACGAAAAATACCTGCTGCCTCCAATGGATTCAACTCGTGAAGGACCCTAACAGTCGGAGTGGAGGTAATCTAGTATCCCCTTCGTCCGGTGGATACCCTTCTTGGGAAACTTGTTGCGATGTAGCTTCCCAAACACACAATGCTCATAGAATTTCAAATTCTGCACCTTGTGCCCGCAAAGAAGATCCCTCTTCGATAGAACTTGCATCCCCCGTTCACTCATATGCCCTAGTCTCATGTGCCAGAGAGTGGTCATATCTTCTTGTTGAACCCGAGACGATGCAACTCCAGCAGAACTAGACAACACAGACCCTTGTAATGCATACAAGGTCCCACGCTTCACGCCCTTCAGTACTTTCCTTGAACCTTTGCAGACATACACAACTCCACCTTTTCCTTTGAAGCTGAAACCCTTGCTGTCGAGTAGACTCAATGAGATCAGGTTCTTTGTCATTCATGGAACATGCCTGACATCATTCACGGTACAGAACGAACCATCATGTGTTCAAACCTTTATGGACCCGATTCCAACAACCTTGCAGACAGCTCCATTAGCCATGACCACGTTACCACCATCTATCTGCTCGTAGGTTGTGAAGCAATCCCTGTTCGGAGACATATGGTATGAGGCTGCAGTATCCAGAAACAACACATCACCACGATGTGCCTTCTCATCTACAGCCAAGGCGAGATTGTCTTCAGAACTGTTGTCCACTTCTGCCACGGCAACTGAACCTTGTTTCTTCTGTTGCCCTCTTCTCTTGGGACAGTTATACTTCCAATGCCCCACTTCCTTACAGTTGTGACAAGCATCACCTGGCTGTGGACCGGGACCCTTGGAATTCTTGTTCGAATGCCCTTTACTAGATTTCTTCTTTCCCTTTCCACCTGTAAAAGCCAAACCCGATGCCTCACCACCTGTACCAGATCCGGACGCCTTATGCCTGATCTCTCTCGTATGAAGAGCAGACTTGACATCCTCCAACGACACGCTTTCTTTACAAGCAATAAAAGAATCAACGAAATTCTCATATGAACTCGGCAAAGAAACCAGCAGGATTAGGGCAGCATCCTCGTCATCAACTTGAACATCTATATTACGCAGATCCAGCAAAATAGAGTTAAGTTGTTCGAGATGTTCCCTCAAAGGCGTACCTTCTTGCATCCTCAAGCTGAACAACCGTTGCTTGAGATGCAGCTTGTTGGTCAAGGACTTCGTCATATACAGACTCTCCAACTTTAACCACAAGCCCGCGGCAGTCTTCTCAGCAGCGACTTCAATGATGACGTCATCAGACAACGATAGCATGATGGTCGAGTGGGCCTTCTCCTCCAGGGTATTCCACTCATCGTCATCGACCGCTGCCTTCTTCTGTTTCGCAGACAGCGGCCCCCACAGCCCTTGCTGTTTTAATAAAGCCTGCATCTTGATCTGCCATATAGCGAAGCTGTTCTTCCCCGTGAACTTTTCGATCTTCATGTTCACCGACGTCATTCTTCTGAATCGAAAACCCTAACCTGATTTCCAGCCGCGGCTCTGATACCACTTGTTATTAGCGCGCTGCTACGGATCGGGAAATCGCAGGAATCGACAAAGCAAGAATACGAAAGCGAGAATCGAAAAACACAGACACACGATTTACGTGGTTCACTAACACGATGTGTGTTAGCTACGTCCACGGGCGAGAGAGATCCAGTTTCACTATATGGAGGAGATTACAGATTACAGAGGAGTATGAGAAGTATTTATAGTACTTCTCCATGTGGGTCTAAAGCTAATCAAATCTGGCAAAGGAAACGATTACAGACCAGGCCCAGAACCCGAACCCAAATAACATTGAGCCCATACACCGTGGGCCGGGGGCGTTGCCCCTGGACCCCACTCGCTGACCGGGGTCGTAGCGGCTGATAGTCCGATTCAAGTCACATCAACACAAGTAATCTACTTTTCTTCTGGTTTATTTTAAAAATGTTTTATGAGAATT